TTTCTGCACGCATATATCGGTATTTCAGAAGCCATGGTCACGGAGATATACGTGCGAAAGGTCTTGTACTGGTCATCGACGAAGTCGAGGCGCTCCATGCAAGTGTATTTGATGGATTAGCGAATGCTATAAGAGACATTAGATGCTCCGATGCTGGCCCCATGCCGAGAGCCCCTTTGCAGACGCAATGGTGATTCTCGTTGGCGATCCTTGCCAGAGTGGAAGAGTGGACCCGATGACCGACGAAAAGTTCCCTCCAGAGCGATATCCATTGAAGCCATTCTGGGAGGCTGATGCATGGGATAGGATGAATCCAACGATATCATATCTAACTAGCTACCATAGATGCCAAGACATCCGATATCTCGACCTGCTCAGGGAGATCCGCTCCTCCCAACGGATACAACCAGGAATCCCTATATTCTCAGAGCAGTCTCTGCAACTCCTTCAAATGATAAGAGACAGAGATGGAGGAGAAGTGCAGCCTAGGTAGGGCGCGTTGGCCTACTTCGTGGGAATACTTCCCAATGGTTTCTGATATTCTGTTGGATCCCAACTTGCACACTCACTGTAGGTTTCCCCATACGACGATATGCCTGACAAACAGCGAAGTAGATAGAAGGAATGAAGAGCTCATCAACAGATTACCTGGGAGAAGGTACGAGTTCCAGTGTGTGGACACTGTGGAGTCCACTCCGTCATCCTTCAACTTCGCTGCGGTCGCTCGGCTGGGTTATAAGCCACGGGTTATACTGAAGACGGGCTGTCGTGTCATGGCAACTGCGAATAGCCATCGTCGAAGCCAGTCAGTGAGATTTTCGAACGGCGCAATGGGCACGGTGCAGAGGATATATATCGATCAGTTCGACGAGCCAACTGTTGTTGTTAAATTCGATCACTACGAGAGGGCGATGCATGTGAAGCGCGAAACTATGATCGTCAGGGGTCCTTCGAATGAGATTATATTTGAGCGTCGACAGATACCGCTAACTCCATGCTATGCAATAACAGCCCATAGGGTGGTCGGAACCACGCTGGCTGGAGTCTGGGCTAATTTCGATTTGGGCCCAAAACGTCGAACCTCTGAAAGAGCCCTAGACGATGTTAGTCCATTCTGGAACGCCCAGTGGTTGAGAGGTATTGCATACACGGTTCTCAGTCGGGTACCTGGTGCTCACTGTATCAAGGTTTTCCCTCTGAAGAATACTCTCAACAATGCTGATATATTTCCAATCTTCACGATGGATCCTGCAGCATTGCAGTTCGACGGGGAATGTGCTCGGATTAGCTGGCTGAACAGTGAGCCATTGCCGAGGAGCCCTAGGACACCCGAACAGCACGCACCTGTACCTGCTGGTGACCCCATCTTCAACGATGCTATCACTTCTCTACAACAAACAATTAACGGATTCGGGAATGAGCTGAGAAAATTCAGATTTATCTCACTGGTCTCGCAGCACTACACCACGCGGAACAGCTCTATAACTGGTGACCCAGTCAATCCGGTTTTCTATTGTGCGGCAAGGGCTACGCTGAGCAACAAGGTCGAGAATATGTCAATAGAAGCACAACTCGGGTTCTATGAGATGCTGAACGAAAAGTTGAATCTCACCTTCCCGAAGCCAAGCTCAGAACAATTGGATCAGATAGCGGGCGACTTGGCGGATCGAGCTATCAGCGAAGGCTTTGTATCAGATGCAGCGAATCTAAGACACATCTTAGGTATGGTCGACTTACTGATGTCCCGTACAAACTCAGGCAGCGACTGTTGAGCAAGAACATATTCTCTTTCAGACCCGTGCCGGCAAGATGCGGAACGGCATTCTCGGACGTATGCCACTGGTGATGGCATTCAAGCACCACAAGAAGTCGCCAGTACTGGTCATGAGGCTGAAGAAAGCAGTAGTTCTGTAAACAGGTACGCTGTCGCGACGTGCAATGGGTCAATCGTGGACAAATCTCATTTGTCAAATCATATAAATTTCATGATATAGCGTATATCACACTATCGTACTATCCTAGATATGCTGATTATATCGTGTGAGCAACACAGTATGACCAACATATCTATGGAATAGGAAAATACAATAATAGTTCCAATGCTGCTGAGAAAATTTCGAAATGTTCCGACATTAGTTCTCAGCGTGTATCACTGCCTGGTATGTCGAGTTGAACTGTCTTAAGCATTGTGTGTTAAGCATGTATCATAAAAATAGACAATGAGCTTGTTATGCCACGTTAAGATCTTTCTCAGCAGCAACGACCGGGATGATATGCAAGAAAATACGAGCGACCTTACTTCTGGAGAAGTGTCGGACGAATTGTCAGATTCTAGCGATGGTGAGTTTAAACTTCGGAACTGGGTGTCAACCAGTGGATGACCCCTCATTTATTGAGGAGCATAACCTGATTCACGCAGATGCTTTGTTCGAAGTCCCTGTACGTCAGCAAGACCCACCAGCGGAAGAGCCAAAGTTCTTAGATGAGCCGTACGCCGCGTTTGAAGGGAGCCTGCATGCCGTGGTCGGAGAATATCTCATCGAAAACCCCCATTTCGAGCTATTGAAGTTCAGCCTAGGAGAGCTGAAAGGCCGAAAGACGTGCTACCTTGAATGCAAGCGAACAGTCCGGAGTCGATTCACCGACAAACCCCCTTCTGAGAAAGGCCGGCCAGATTGGCGGTGCTGGGAGGCTTTCACCTGCAAAATGAAGGAAGTGAAAGCCCATGAGGTTGATGGCTACACCTACTTCTATCCACTCCGTGGTGTACAAGCAACGGCTACGGAATGGCGTCAGCATGCTCATTTCCCGGGAACCACTACGTGCAGGAGCAGAACCATACCGCCAGACCTTGTTGACGACTGGGTGGCCTGGCACGCCAGGGACCCTGGGCAGACCAAGCAGAACCTGAAAGAGCGAAGCCTTCGCAAGAACGTAGAGGGCGGGTACTCATCTACTACGATGGAGTTTATCACCAATGGGGGGCTCAAGAACTATGACGCATTCAAACAGCTGATGGTTTCTATAACGAAATCGAAGAGCTCGGGATTGAGCGTTCTCGATTTCTGCAGGCGGCTCGAAGCCATGTCCTTCACTACAGACAGATTGAGGAGCGAAGTAGCTGAAACAATGCGGAGCTTGGAAGCTGTGACCAATGGAACGCACAGTGAAGATGACCTTGTGAGGGCTCGCTTAGCTGATATATCCGTCGTGTTGGATAACATATTATGCGAACCTGGGTCCACACGTGGCAATCGGCGGGGAGTGAAAAATTCTCGGCAGTTGTAACGAGTGCACGAATGCTCCGCAACCTAAAGGGCTGCCACACTATTGCCGTCGACGTACGTTTAATCTTACCTATGCCGATCTATGCATTGGGATGGTCTGTTCACTCCCCAAGGCTTCAACAGCACAACCGGTGGCCCTAATTATCATGAACAGGGAGTCTAGTACGTGTCTCGAGCATGGTCTGGGAGAGCTTACCAAAGCTGCTGCAGCGGTCGGATTGGATGAATGCACTCCATCTGAAGCGGTCATAGACGGTAGTGATGCTATCCATCGCGCTCTCACCCGACACTATGGTCCATCAACACTCAAGTTCACGAGCTGTTATTTCCACGTTATCAAGCGGGCCAAGGAGTGCAAAGGGCGGACACGGCTGAGCGAGTCGTTATGGCGAGAAGTTAAGCGAGATCTTCAGCTTATGGGAGACTCTGTTAGTCGCGCCGAGTGGCTGAAGCTCCGAGACTTGTTTTTGAAGAAGTGGTCACAAGGTAAGCGATATATCTGATAGGAATCGCTTTAAGATTGGTTTCCTTGTAGTTTGTAGTATAATAATCCTTTAAAACTGAATTTTTGAATCTACTGCTCCGGATGCAGGAAGCAGTGCCTTTCTGCATCATTATATCCTAGGAAAGTCCGGAATTTCTCGGCAAGCTTTCTCAGGGCTAGTTCCAATAAGTCTCAACAGGGATTTGAATTTCTGACTGCTTGAATTACATTAAAATGAGTGATTAAGTTTCGGACAGAAAGATCAGACGGGCTTGAAATTTTAGGCCGTCCGACCTCATTCGAGATTTAATCCCTACTTTCTAGATTTGAGTCAGCATCGATATTCGCGGAGCTAGTATGTCGATGGATGGGGAAATCTCAGATGATAGCGCATTCCCTCGTGGTCCAGGTCGAAATTCTCCAGGAGTCCTGGAGCCGCCACCACTTATTGACTGATTTTCTGAGGAAGAATTTGTACTCATTCATACTCTTCGCAACTATAATTCGGACTAGAGGCTGACTAAAGCCGTCAATTCTTATTTCTAGGCGAACAAGTACTGTACCTCGAGTCCAGCCCCTCAACGCTGTGTTTCATTTCAGTACGTCCACCCGAACTCACACAAGCGGAGCGGACTTCCGTTGACCGGTTCCTGTCCGATTTTGCTGGGTATCTCAATCCGTTGGCCTGGCGGAGCCACTGGGGTGCTTACAGCGAAGAAACAGAGGCGCCGCGTACGAACAATTCAGTGGAAAGGCTGAACAAAGAGTTGAAGAAAGTTCTTCTCCATTCCCGCCAGCGCCTTACCTTACTAGATCTTGCTGGCTTGTTGCAGGATTCGACGAGGTGGGCACTTATTTCTCAATATGGCCGTCGTGATGTTCGGGGCAAAGTGACTGACAAACTTGTTCAAGCTGCGGCACGCCACCACCTAAGGAGCGGCTACTGTCAATTACCGAAAATGGAACGATCGAGATGCGATAGATGGCTCTTTTTCACCAAGAGTTATTCTAATTTTGAGGGACGTACATTCGAAGAGCTTTTGACGCATGCTGAGGAAGCCCATGATATAGAAGCTGTGCTCGGGGGAGAATACGATGATCTGGAGCAAGCGCGAAGGCTGAAGAAAGAGTACTCTGTAGTTCATAGCTTTCTTACTCCTACGAAAGCTGTCGATTATTGGTGTACGTGCCGCCACTGGGCGCTTGATCAGTGCTGTAGTCATACCTTATGCGTGCAGCACTCGCAGGGGAAGGAGATACGTCCAGAAGTTTTGAAGCTTTGGGATAGAGCCGAATGCTACTTCGATAGGCCGAAATTGCGTCGCCGAGCTGACGGGCGATTAGAAGATCAGGCGCTAGCTACCGACATCCGCTATGGCATTGGCGAGAAGGGAAAGAGAAAAAGGTCGTCTGAGATGCCTTCCGGCAGCCGTTCTGAGCCATCTAAGGAACATAAAAGCCAGCGGAGACAGCAGCAAGGTTCCGCTCCATCCGGTACCATCCCAATAAGGCGAGTGCGAAGACCTGACCCTTCAATTTTGGGTAGTTCAATGCAAGAGCTGGAGGAAGAAGAGACTATCGTAGCAGGTAGGATAAGCGGCAGTCTACTTGAGCGATATCACAATTCCCTATCCTGAGTCCTCTCTCAGCGAACACAAGCTGGTCCGCGTGTCGACTTAGAGTTGAAGATGGGGACGCTGGAGAACACTCGATCGTGAGGCTCGTCCGCTTGTCCGACCATTGCCGAAGAGTTGGGGTGATGATCAACTACCCATATCGTCTCCAGGTATATTCCGGATCTGGCGAGATAGCGAGTGCAACCAACACATCGGACGCAACTACTTCCGAATTGAGAGGTCCAATAACCATATGTAAAGCCAAAATGTCGTTGATGTCTACAGGTATCCCTGAATGCCAAACGGTTGGTAATACTGGGCGGTTACCAGAGGAGGAGCAACACTCAGGAAGCGGCAGAACTCTACCCTCAGGCGAAATTGGCCCGATACATGTATGTACAATGTTGCAATTAGAGTGAACATAACGCAACACTTTTCAGACCAAATCATCGCGGGATTCGTTACCTATTGCTCTGAGGAAACCTCGACGAAGAAGACGATTTGATTACAGACTATTCGGCGCAGACGGTATTCGTTGCTATACCGATGAACCCGAAAGTAGTGAAGGTGGTAGAGAAGTTCTCTCCGAGAGCAGGTGAAAGCCTGAGCAGAAGTGAAGAATCTTGCATGAAGACGGTATCTTCATCGTAGTATGAACGAATCGTGGTCTAGTCGATATCTACTCTGACTAGTAGTCACTGACTACCATGACTAATTTGATGAAACACAACCGTGCATTTGTCAACCAGTCCAGTAAGCCTATTTCTAACGATCGAATGTTGCTGGGGTCTAGTTTCAATTTCGAAGCCAGTGATTGACTCTGGCATCGGGAGTATCATGGTCCATACTTCATGGGTATGACGAGCACTCTGAGTTTGTTTACGCAAAGATGCAGACTATCAGAGAAAGAATGATCCAGAGCGCTCAGTGCTAAACTTAGTACGCGTTAACACTGCACGCATCTACTGAAGCGGCTTCAGAATCTCTCAAGCTCAAAATTACAAAATGGAGCAGACTTGCGATAAACTTTGATAGGAAAGCAGCGCATATGAAAATATTTACCTACGCCGGCACATCTGAGTGTATACCCGTAATAAACTCTTTCGAGTTTCGGAAACTCAGTTTCCGCCTCACTCAGCGGGGACCGTCAGACCACTGGCATTTCAACGTTGGGGCCTCCGGGATGTACATCCCATCTAACAGCCATGTGTAGCGACCAGTCTAGCGGGCCCCTCTGTGAGGAATTATGAGATAGAGAAGCTCTCTAAGAAAGCCACCAGGGATCGGGTCAGGGAGTTGCCGAAGGATGGCAGATGAGCTAATCCAACTCAGTTGGCGAGAAGAATCTTTCAGCGTGCACAGTGGGGGTTGGGCTACACAGTGCTATGCACTGCATTTCCATCCCATCGTCATCATCGTTTGTAAAGAATATCCAAAGCCATTAATTCAATTTCACATCATGTCAGGCATAGTAGATACTTACTTGAATTTCGACTATTGAAAAGTATACTATTAACGTACTTCTTAGTGAGAAATATGTAGCAAGTATTTGATCTTGTTTCTGTTGTGGTTGACAGTGATTATTCATTAGAATTTTTTCAGAAGTGAGTCGAATGAATATAACAAGTTGGGGATGAGCTGAAAACTCTCCACTACAATGAATAGCAGTGATCCCTTGTTGTTATCACTCCCAGTCTCCAGCCTTTGCACTGCAAAGTTTGCAGCACTTTGCAGTCGCCATCCACATCAGCTATGAGGGTGTACCACAGCTGCAGGTGACGGGAGGACCCCAAGTAACTCGCGTAACGCTGAAGCAGCGTCAGGCGAGGCTTTCCTTTCAAAAACGTTCCAAAACTCAAGTTGCGCAGTTTGTGCAAAGTGCATGTAATTTTTCCGCAACGCCGCAGTTGGGAATTGAACCCCAGTGTCTATCCTTCGTGGACTATTCGAGTATAGGGTGTACGTGATAGGGTCGTAAAGGGACCACAGTAAAAAGCGGGCCGAAGGCCCGCTATTCTACTCTATAAATAACATTTTTCCGCGTGTGTGGACATTCAACCCCGATTGTGGGGACATTGGGCGCCGGTAGCCGCAGTTGGGAATTGAACCCCAGTGTCTATCCTTCGTGGACTATTCGAGTATAGGGTGTACGTGATAGGGTCGTAAAGGGACCACAGTAAAAAGCGGGCCGAAGGCCCGCTATTCTACTCTATAAATAACATTTTTCCGCGTGTGTGGACATTCAACCCCGATTGTGGGGACATTGGGCCCCGCGGCCTGGCTTGCTGCTGTGACTATAGATGGCCGAAGGGACGCAAATTTTAGGCGGAGCGAAGCGATTTTTGTTCTGAAATTCATGATTTGCGCTATCAACTTTACCACTGCGAGAGATCCCCGGTTCGATCCCGGCACGTGTCGACTGAATAACACGACAGACAAAAACTGTGAACAGCAATTATTGTTGGTAAGTATTTTGACATGTACGACCCAATTGAGGCATGGACCACCGACTACGACGGAGTGGTCTCATCTCTACTCCAAGCATAATGAGGCGCCAATATACGCCTCCTTGAGGAGCATCTCACCATCAGTTGTCAAGAGGCCATCAAGCAACTCATTCCGGACTAGCTGCCTCATCGAGTGAAGAGAGAGTAATGAAACCCGTCTGATGGACGTCCAGCTGCCGCCACAACTGCTTAACACTGCGAGTGAAGTTCAACTGAAGAGAAGACAGAGAAGTCGCCAACTATTAGCATTTGGACTACGAGCTGACTGACGTTTGATCAGTGATTTTGAAAAAACATAGAGCTATATAGTCTGATGGTCGGAAAGGTGGTCTCTCAAACCATAGGATGTGGGTTCGATTCACTCCGAGCATTCTTACCTCTCTAGCTACCCGACAGAACTTCGTAAAAGGTATCTTCCCGTCTCCCTCCACATCCAAACTGTACCGCCAAGCGTTGCTCAAACTGCCGTACCTGAATCGAATACACTCGCGAGCCCTCCAGTGCTGGTCCCACGGGAGACGTCGTGCATCATTCACCTCAACACGAGCTGCTCCTTGAACTTATTCATCACGCTCGTGCCTACCATGTCCATCTTGCAAGACTTCATACTGGTCTTGCCGAATATGAACTCCCGAGATCTAAGTAAGAGCATGGAACAGTTAACTTGGACAACGGGCAGAGAGGGAGAACAGTGAAGGGCTGCCTCCCATACCTTCGCGACTGGTCTGCAAGTTCTTCAAGCCCGATGAAGGAGCTTCCCCGTAAAGTCTGGAAAGACTCCTCCCACGTGGCTTTCAGGCGATCGACTTTCGCTTGCATTTCTTCCAAGGATGGCTCGTAATTATCATGGTACCTACGCCACTCAAGGTCTTCACTGTTCGTTGTACACGGCCGAAGCTTCACCATTGCTCCCACTGTCCAACTTGCCAACGTAACTTCTCCACTTCTCGTCTGGCAACCACCAGCTCTGCAGATGGGCTTTGCGTTGCTGCCATGCTCTCGAGCTACAAAACCTCAGATGACTGCGATCGTGGCAACTCGGGGAAAACCACCTCTGTTTTCGCTTCCTGCCCTGCTCCTCTGGCATCTCGGAGCTCATCTCTCAGATGTCTTACTTCATCTTCGTGTTCGGCCCGCTCCTGGAAGAGGCTCGATCTGCAAGGCTATATTGATCTCGGATTGCACCCACTTTCTCCATCTCGAGTTTGAGTTCATCTATCTCGGCCTGTGAGGCACTGACCCTTTCCTGCATATCCTTCAGCTTCATCAGAGCTGCCCTCAACGCCTTTTCTGAGAGACTGTCAGTCTCAGACTGAGTGTAGTGACGGTTGAGAGAGACGCCTACCCGCCCCAGCAATTGTCGACCTGGCCAACTGTGGCTTGGCAACTGGTGACGCTGATGGGTCCCCGTCTGCTGAGGACGATAACGTTCTGTCCATACCTATCGAAGGGCAGCTTGCAGATATTCTTCATGTGTTTGACATGAGCTGTTCATAACGATGGGCATACCATCGTTGCCAGCACGCGCCTCTTTTCCATTGTGATGTTCTCGATCAATTCCCACACGGTCATCCTTGGCTAAGATCTGTGAAGTATCGCGCGAATGCACTCCGCCTTGGGTATGAGGTATCCCCTGTTCAGGCTGTGAAAGACTTCCAGTCGCGGACATAAGTCCAACTGCGCGAGTTGGCAGCATAAGTTCATTGTAATCCGTACTTATTGACAAACACGAGATAAGTGTGGGAAATACAGAAAGAGCAGGAGCCATCGTGATAGCACAATGATAGTAATTCACCTTCAAGTTCTGGTAGAAGTTGTATGGTTTGTCTCAACTTTATCTGTCCCGAGATTAAACCGGGTTTCGGTTGAGGTCAGTGACCAGCACTAAATTGGCAGTGACCAATGGTCATGGTAATTTTAGTGCAGTCTGACAGACCATTCAGAAATTTACTGGCAGTTTCAAACTATCCTGTCGCATATTCCCACCCGAAGATGACTAGATGACTATTGATAAGGATGAGAATGGTCTATAAAAGGTTATTCAATCCCCAGTTATCAGAGTTCTTCTCTCGTAAAAATGCATCTTCTCGCAATGATGATAATCTGAGTATTCTAAAGTTGTTGGCAACGGATTTCGGTACGATTTCTCAATCCTATGCAAAAGCTCAAAGCTGAGGGCTCAACCTTACACTTCATGGCCAATGCATATGCTTCAAACATCCTCTTCCCCTCGATACTTGTATTGGAAATGGATGTTGCGCCAAGAAATTGCGCGCTCGCCCAGCTCATTTTGCCTGACAGCTTCAACCTTGTTCTTCCGTTAAACAGCTTACGACGATGAGGAGGGGTAGAGAGCCCGCAGACGGTGGGGAAGTGTGGCAGATTAGCCCCTCGCCACCATCGCAAATGAATCACTATTGCCTTTGCTATTGTTGTACCAGGTTGACTATGATTGAGACTTCCATGACGTGTGAAATCCTAGTCTAGTTATGTGTAATCATGTGCGGAGTTCTCGGGCTATTCCTTTAGCTAGACTAGCGTCTCCTGCCCTTATACTATGTCAAAAGACCTCTGGCTTCCCAAGGCGGAGTTGGAGAAGAATCCTGAGTATATTCAGTGTCGCGAGTAGGTTCATTATGCTTCTATGTCGTCCTGAGGTTTTGGTATTATGTATTCATCGCCGTCCAATAAAAATCCGAACCCCAAGGCTCCACCGTTGAGACGTTGTGAATTGTTCTCTCATTGCAGGTACATGGCTCGACATCGCATATCAGAGCTTCTTCACGATCTCTTGGCCTCAGTGGCCTTCCATAAGCCAGAGGGAGGCAGGGAAGGAGTCATGTCCTTCATGGCTCAGCAATTGAAACGCCGCGGTACAGAGGGAGCAGAAGCTGGTGGCCTGTTCGATATGAAGGAGATCGAGTCGGTCTTTCACATGGCTGATCTACTCAAGCAGGGCACCATCACTCGAGAGCAGGTGGGGGACCGTTGCGCACACCGCAGCCGAGTACGGGATCCTTCTGTCAAGTGACTTCATCGGGACATCCCTCATCTCGGTCAGTGTCGATCAGCCTTGAAGGCTCTGGCGTGTTCGGCCAGGCAAGAAGAGATGATTGATGGCGTTCCTGGGGATAAGTCCACAAGCTTGGAGATTCCGCTGAAGGTCGACTTGTCTACTTTCGTGGAGCTAGCCAGGAAGGCGTTCAGCTTACGGGTGAGATACCACTCACTACCACGTTAATTGGAGCCCTCCCTCGGCCTTTAACTCAGGTTGAGGATATAGCCGTGTCGGGATGAGTGTTGCTGTTCATTCATGCTGCGCGCCGAGTATACATGATCACGATGATGTCATGAATGTGATACTCTGACGTATGTTGGTCTGTGTTATAGCTATAGGACCTGTTGAGCAGGGACTGCTTTACATGGCTTTTCGAATAACATCAGATGAAAGGTGGCCCAAACTGAGAACAATTGGCCTCAACATATCCAGGCTGGATAATCCAGCAACCTCAGTGTTGCTTGTTCTCGCTGTTCATGTTCGTCACAGTTCCCTGGTGGACTAATGGTTCCAATGGATCCGTCCTAATTGCCTCCCGAGCCATCCCAATTAGACGAGGTATTGAATCCATCGGCCTATAAGTTGTCGTGTTGCATACATATACATGTGACTAGAGACGGCCTAGGTCCGTGCATCCCCATGGCGAGGGAAAATGCAAAGCCAATTACACTAAGGCCGATGAAGTCAGTAAGGCGTCACTCGGTATATCCTCAGGGTGAACGTATACAGGAGTACGTAACGTGCCATACGTTATGCAAGTTATCAGGATAAACTCGTCTTGCGCAACTTTCTTCAACCGATGAGCGCCGTTGTACTTGGACGTAGTCGCTTTTCTTAAGTACCAGCTCCCTATCGGTGCTCCATTTTTCAACTCGGTGTAACCATCACGACTCCTTTCTAGCTGCTAAATTCTAGAGAAGCTCATTCGTCTATGATATGAATTTGAAACCATCGATAAATGGGCGAATTTAGCAGCTCGTCATACTATGATGATGAAAGGAAAGCAGTGGAAATGGCCGCGGCCATCGGTTAACAAGAATAGGACAGTTTGTGACAATCTCGAGGTCACGGGAACAAGATCAAATGGAGCTATCAAACTCTTTCTTGAGAGTGACCCGAGCGCGGGTGGAGAGGAGCGCCCCCTGAAGCAGTACAGATTCGCAAGAACTTATCCTGTGTATCCCTGGACTCTAGGCCTGGAGCGAAATTCGAGAGTAGGCACAACTTCCCAATACGTTCCTACCGTAGGAACGTATTGGAATCCGTAGAAATTCCTATAGACCAGGGCACCATTGTTACGGGGCAACTCTCGCGGTGGTGGTTGAACTCGTCTGCTAATGCTTAATTGTGATGAGGCTTACTTGAGCAGGCTTGTGGAACTTGAAGGGTTAGCTGCTATGCGCATTGAGGATGAGCGTTTCAATGACTAACGTCTCAGCTGGACGCCGTCCAGCTGAGACCCGTCGGGTTAATGGGTGCACACTCCAATCAGGCGTACTATTTGCCAGCACTTTAAGTACTGCTATTGCATCCTTTGCAAGAGTAAAGTAATCTTCCACACTAATAACTTTCCAATAATATACTGAATAATTTTCCAACAAAAAATTAACCTATATCCTGCAGCTCCTAAATTCAAACGTGCTGAAGTACTTTACATCACTTTCTAACTTACCCACACGGACATCCACATCTTGCTCAAATCTTCGGTAATTTTGTGCGTAGTGTGGATCTGCGTCGCGACTGGAAGTAGGAATCAACTCAGTGGCCATTGGCCACTGGCCAACACTTGTCCAAAGTCGATCACATCGATTTTTCCTCTCAGTACTGAACGGTTCAGTCCAAACCTCCGGCTTTTCCAATGGCCGGTTCAACACCATTGTTGGTGGAAGGGTATCTCACAGAGACGCCCTGGCAGAATGAACCTGCCATCAACTAAAATTATCACCCGTGAACCAGTGGTTCTTTAGGTATGTAACGGCGTCAGGATTGTGATGGGTGTATTTCTCTTGGTACAGCAGACCACCGAGCTGGGACATGGCTGAGGTGAAGCAGATTTGGAGTTTGCAGGTGTCCGTGAGTATAGCATGGAGAAGCTCAAGTGTTGTCTTCAGATCCTCCAGCATGGACTAGATCCGCTGCTTGGCGTGGAACCAGCATGTTGCTCGTAGTACTCCCGGGAATACTTCTTTCATGGCGGCAATGATAGATGGTGCACCGTCGCCTAGAACAACGTGACACGTTGAACGTGTAGTGTTCTTTGATCGAGTCCCAGTACTCGAGCAATCTGTGGCAGAATGCTCAATCGGCTCACCCGATTGGGTGATTGTCGACCCTGTAAAAGTCCCTGTAAGACTGGAAATTCAGTTAAAGCAGAGATTAAATATTAGTCCTCAGCATACTTAGCGAGCGCTTAGCGGTCGACATAGTGCCACGAACCGCGCCGGAGACGTCGGTAGTCAGGACGCTGTATCGGCCGGAGATGGTGCTTGCATGGCGGCGCATTACTAGACTAGTTGCCTCACAAGCTCCAGCCCTGCTTGGGGTGCTCATCAGAACGGGAGGGCTTCAAGCCCTGGGGCCCAGGGCCTGGGCTTGTCAGGAGTGATACTTTTGACAAGCCATAGGCTTGTCCATTCCCGTCATCATCACATACTATATGACGTGAATGGACCCAAATGCGAGCAGGCAACGGTACTCGCATTCGGCGGAGGAATCTTCTGAGGGCGTCATTGGTGATGGTGGTGGATATTATCCACTGGATAACGCGGTCTCAGCGGGATGGAGAAGGACCCTTTCAAATTGGAAGAATTCTCTCTTTTTCAAAAAGAATTCGTTTATTTCTATTTCATTATTTCTTTCAAAAATTTTTAGAAAGAAACGAGAAAGAAATGAAAATAGTTGAATTACATGCTACAATTTCTAGTCTGAAAATTTAAGGAAGATGATTTAAAGGTATGAGTATGAAAATACAAGGCACCGCCTATCGGTGATGATTGATAGTCGAGATATTACGAGAAAATGCGACTTACATAGACGCTATTGTTAAGTCCCCGCGGTAAAGGTATCGGAGGAGGTGATACTAGAGGGTCATGAACAACTAGGCCTCAACAGAGAACAACCGGGCATCATTTCATGAGAACTGGGCGATTCTGATACAATACAAGTATACACCTAGATCCTGTGAGCTATAGAGCAGTGAAGCGTGGGATGAATTTAGAGTCACTATCAATAGCTGCTGAACATCGGTGTCTCGAATATCTAGTCCATGGCGATTCTGATACAATACAAGTATACAGCCAGGTTCTATGAGCAATAGAGCATTGGAGTGTGGAAGGACCTTCAGACTGAAGGCTTCAGTAGCAGGCTCAAGTAGGTTGAGTCAACTTACCTACCGGCAGCATTGTTGGGCTA